TTTTTAGAGAGATTGAAACAGAATTTTGATCAGAGTATTGGCTACAGGAATGTATTTGTCAAAATTCAGCAAACTGTACATGAAGATCTGTGCATTCTACTCCATATAAACCTTAACTCCAGGAAAAACAATCTGATTGGCCCAGCGTGAGTCAGGTGTCCTACTGACTGAGTGAGGAGTTCTTGCCAGGAATCAAACCAGGTGCAGACACAACCCAGAGACGGTGCATGTGTGCTTGGCCCCCACTCCGCGGAGCGTCTACACCTGCTGGTGCAGTTAGTTTCTGTATCGAAACCATGTCGTCCTTTCCTAAGTGTGGTAAGTAATCTTCTTGATACAGGAAAGTTGTATTCGTTAGAAATTAGGGAAATTTTCCTAGTGATTCCATCAGATAAAAACCACCATAAAGGAGAGAATAAGACCAAGCCGCCCCCCCCCCCCCCAGGCAACCACGATACCGTTGTGGTGAGATCCTTCCACTCGGAACGATCACGATGCTACAGGACTTGAACCGTGCACGAGGACACCTGGCCACACGGTCTGCCAGCCTGCTAGTGCGACACCTGGCCACACGATCTGCCAGCCTGCTACCTCGCTACCTCGCACTTCTCTGGGTTTGCAGGTCGGCTGACACTTGGAAGGAGCGGAGGGTGGAAGAGGTGAGGCGGGAGCCTGACCTCCCAGTGAAAGCAGCGGCGCGCTTGCTGCAGGACAAGGGGAAGCTCCGCGCTCACAGGCCGGGGCCGGGGCGGGGGGGGGGGGGGTAGCCGGGGTCATGAAACCTTGTCCCCTGTCCTCCCCCCACCCCCCCGCCCTCATCATGGCAGGAGCTGGGTCTCAGGGGCAGGGAAGGCACCGGGAGAAGCGGCCTCACCCCCAGGTCCCATCCTCCTCCCGCGGGCTCCAGGGAGCTAGAGTGGGAGAGACGCTGTGGGCCTCCCCCCCGCCCCGGGAGGCAGGGAGCTCACCCTCAGCACACGTATTCCTTAGGGGGCCGCATCAACCTCCTGATGACACGCCAGGCTCAAGACCCCCAAAGACAGAATAACAATCGGCAAACTTCTTCCCCTCTCACCTATTTCTCACCCTATTGACCTTAAAACGGAGGCTAGAGGTAAACTCTCAGGAGATGAACACTTGAGTCTCACTGTCCTGATGTGTGAACCATCTAGAGACCCTCCAGGAGGCACATTCATCATTTAAAATGGGAGACACAGGAACGGTACGTTTTCTGTTTCATTCTATACTCTTTTGAGAAATTAGAGAGGTTTTCTTCCAAGAAAACCACGTGACAGCCTGTGCTCGCTTACTCAGGCTGCGCCGACCCTAAACCAACGTAAGACTAGTCGTGAACGACTTAGGGCCTTGGTCCACAGTAGTTTAGGAAGATTCTGGGATGATGATGATTCGTGATCACCGATACAGTTACCCTGTGGGAACTCTGTAGACTCTACTCCTCGGCACAACAGCAGGTGAGGTAAAAGCCCTCCTCTCACCTGCTCCCAGATCCACGAGTGTGCATTTCACAAAGTCAAGTGTCAGGGTAGTGCTGTCGACCCAACTTCCAGATGCATCTTCAGTCGTAACAAACCGTATTTCGAAGTCTGGATGCCACTGGCGACCCCAGTCTGGGGATGCGGGACTCGGTTCTGGTTTCCCAGCCCCTGTGTCCTCTGCTCTAAGGCTGAAGCATCCGTACGGGATCCCAGCGTGTCACCAGCATCCACCGAGCTATGTGACGCCCCGCCGTGCGCCACGCCAGTACTCTCAACGCCAAACTGAACCTATAGAGACTCCCTTGCTTTGCAGGTCAGGGTTTCTTCAGAGATGTCCTGTCTTTAGTGACTTAGGTTCCCCCCATGCATTCTCGGGGGGTTTCACTTCCTCAGCCCCATTTGAGATGTTGCATCTTCCCAAGTACACTACACTACTTCATGCACGTCACAGTTTTCGTGGCAAACATCTCATATTTTGAAAAGCAGGTTCGGGGCAGCTGGGTGGCTCAGTGGTTAAGTGTCCGACTCCTGATATAGGCTCAGGTCACAATCTAGGGGTCGGGGTTATGAGATTGAGCCCCATATTGGGCTCCACACTGGGCCCCGCACGAGCCAGCTTCAGATTCTCTCTCTCCCTCTCCCTTTGCCCACCCCTCCCCCACTCACGCAAAAATAAAAATGCAGGTTAATGAGTTCCTCTGTGAAGCCTTCTTGCATCTTCCGTTGTAACAACAGGTTTGTGTCTGCCCTGAATTCCCCTTCCCTTATGATAAGGCTTTCATCCTGTGTGGTTCTAGCCCTTTCAACCCCAGTGCCACACGCACCCCTGGCCCCGGGGGAGGATGGGTAACCTAACAGACTCAGTCTGAGTCCTTGAATGAAATTTGCTATCTGGACACTCACAAAAAAAAGAGTCTCTTTTTCTATAAAGAGGTTTGGGGTTTCCTATTGCCATTTTTCCTCCATGTGGACGGGCAGGAAAGATAGGGCAGAGAGAGACAGAGGAGGGGAAGCTCACAGGAGGGAAAGGCCAGGAAAGGGAAAAAGAAACATGATGGGAGAAGGGGAGCCAACAGGTCATGGGGAGAAACTGAAGGGAAGGGAAAGAAAGAATGGGGTGGGGTAACCAAACTTTAAGCCAATGGATGGAACTGTGCTTTAAGCTACTGCTACCTGTTAAACGAGTCACCATTTCCCCCTTTTTGGCTCAAGCTAGTGTGAGTTCAGCAGAAGTCCGCAGGGTGGATCACGTGTGCAATTTTGTCGCCATTCTTGAAAATCAGAACACTCCTTCCCCAAAAAAGCCCCCAAGATATAAGAGGAAAGTCAGCACAGCACTCAGTAGGGAAAGCCGAGCGCCTCTAACAGCCGTGGAGAAACTGCACGTGTTAATGTCAAGCACCCATGGTTCTCTAAGGCGGAAGAGCTTCCCTCTCAGCTGACCTGTCAGGAGGTGAAAAATGAGATTTCGGGGGACCCCTGGGTGGCTCGGCAGTTTAGCACCTGTCTTTGGCTCAGGGAATGACCCCGGGGTCCTGGGATCGAGTCCCACGTCAGGCTCCCTGCATGGAGCCTGCTTCTCCCTCTCTGAATAAATAAAATCTTAAAAAAAATAAAAACGAGATTTCCCTAAAATGCCTACCATAGCACTGCCAGACACAGGGCTGCCGGGGCGGCTGACATTCTTGGGCTAGCTGACCGAGTTTCATAAAAATCCGTGGAGTAGGTTAGATGTACTTACCTGCGCGTCTCCTCAGGTAAGGAATAAGCCTGGGAGTGATGGCGATTTGTTTAATTAATTACATGATAATTGCCTCGGGACAGAAGGAAGTTATTTTCAGCTCAAATTAGGGTTCCTGGAAAGATGGGTTAACCCGTGAACGAGGTACCAAGAGTTGTGAGGGGCCGTTGGTGTGACCTGCTGTTCTAGGCTCCCCAAGTGCCTTGGAGACGTCTCCCCAAGCCAAGACGGTGCCGAGGCATCTCCTCCAGGGCTGTTCTAGGACTGAGAGGTCAGGCCGCACCTCGGGGACGACAGGGAAGGGCGAGTTTAAGGGAACAGCACTCCCCGTGGGCCGACACTCACTGCACAGCCTCCAAATCAGAATTCCAGACTTGCCTCCACCGTCCTTTAGCCCAGAGAGAGCCTGGCTTGGAAGACGGTGGCTCTGGGCTGGAGGCTCCCCACCCATCGCGGGGATTTCCTGGGAGAGCCAACTCTTGTTTGAATGTCAGTGTCTGTAGGGACAGCACGGGGACAACTCTTCTACTCTCATCCTGGGGGCTAGATAAAACCCCGCAATCAGGGCAGCCCCGGTGGCTCAGCGGTTTAGCGCCACCTTCAGCCCAGGGCGTGATCCTGGAGACCCAGGATCAAGTCCCACGTTGGGCTCCCTGCATGGGGCCTGCTTCTCCCTCTGCCTGTGTCTCTGCCTCTCTCTCTCTGTCTCTCATGAATAAATAAATAAAATCTTAAAAAAAAACTGCAATCATCTGATTCATCCCCTCCCCCAAGAATTCACTTACCAAGCAGAGCGCTTGTCCCTCTGCCCCCCCTCCACCCCATCTGTTGGTCAAGGACCGGGAAGGATTTGCTGAGAACTACTCACCTCCTCTACAGGAAGACATCCGTCTGTGTGTACGCACTCTCTTGCACACATTTTTGCACGTTACTTTGAGGAGAATACAAAACCCCTGAGGTTCATTTTTAGAAAAGCCAAGTTACAAAAAAGAGAAGAAGAAGAAGAAGAAGAAGAAGAAGAAGAAGAAGAAAAAGAAAGAGAAAGAAAGAAAGAAAGAAAGAAAGAAAGAAAGAAAGAAAGAAAGAAAGAAGAAACCCTGAATGAGAGAAAACAATTGCAATGAACCACAAGAATTTTTTAAAGCACATTATGGTAAAACAAACTTGTTCGTTTCTTCATGAATTTAGTTTTTTTCAAGCAATGTTTTCAATGAGCCCGCAGCATACCGCACGCGTCTGGGCGAGGGCCACTGCACCGTCCTCAGCCGCGACTGCCAGTTTAGATGAGCTGCTTCTACAGTCTCGGCGAGAGAACAAATCACTGAATGCTCGTTAGTAATACGTAAACTCAGAAGGCGCTCAGCTTCTGAAAATGAACTAACACCACGACTCTCTTCCTCCTTTTGCAAAATGAGTTGAAGCAGGATGTTGTTTCCCTCATTTCCCATGCTTCTTTAGAGAAAGAAATGCTTGTGTCAAAACGCAGGCTTACACAAACCAACCCGTTGCCATCTGGGTCACAATTGGGGAAACTTGCGCATCCCCAGCTAATTAGAGCAGGACGGAGGGTGAGTGCAGCAGAGCAGCAGCTGCCCCGTCCTCCGGCCTGTGCCCTGGGGCTGGTGCGGCGCCCGCTGGCACAGAGCAGGGACCAGCACAGGAACCGTTCCTCCCCAGGGAACGGCTACGCAGTCTTTATCACTTACATCCTTCCTCTAGAAGCAGGAGAGGGAAACACCAAAAGAAGAAGCCAAAAACCTCAATGAATGTTCTTAGAAAAAAAATTTTAATGTATAGATATATCACATTTCTCCATACAAAATATACATATATATTTAAAACCCCAAGGGAAAGCCCCGTCCTTCATTTATTCCTCGAAGGACCTGCTGCATCCTCGGCGCGGGCGTCAGGGTAGAAATCCAGCAGGGAGCACTCCTGCTGCAGCGGGCAGCTGTTGTCGTCCAGCACGAACAGGCTGTGCACCTGTAGGAGCCACGGCGCCGCACCGGCCGCCAGCAGTGAGTGCAACAGGTCTGCGGCCACCGCGCCGTAGGTGACCTCGGCCCAAGGCGCTGGGGGACACAGGGACACAGACACGTGAAGCGCACGGCCAAGGCTCCACTGCCCCCTGGGCGCCCGACCCTGCCCCACCCTCGCCCGCTCCAACCCTGGCGCTGAGGCTGCTCTGAGGCCTGACAGCGCCCGTGTGGTCGGCCCAGCGGGCCTGGTGTGCCAGGGCTCCTCGGCGGGGACTGGGCCCCGGGGCTTGGATGGTCGGGCTTGGGTCACGATCTCCGGGGCCTGGGATGGGGTCCCTGCCCCCGGGGAGCCCACTTCTGCCCCGCTTGCCGCTCCCGCTCGCTCTCCCTTCAAATAAATGAAATAACCAGCGGTGGGAGCTGGCGCTCGTGGGCCTCGGGGGGCCTGGGCGAGGGGAGCAGGCATGGGGGCTCAGAGGGCGGGCAGCCCACGCATAGGCCGCGCCGCACTGGGCCCTGGTCCTGAGCCCGCGACCTCGGCCAAGCCTGGAGCCGGGACATGCTAGCGTGGCCGGGGCAGGCCCACGGGCCCTGTGACCCCGGCTGCAAGCAGGCGACTGGGCCAACCACACGCAGGGCTGCCCTGGCCGTGGGGACCAAGTCTTCCCCTGCAGCTCACATGCTCCTCATCCCCCTCCAGCTAATCACACCTCTGCCTTTACGCGGACAGAAAAGCCCCTGAGGTCCGTTCTGATCCACAGCACCGTCCACCCTTGCGCATGAGTGGTTCCAGCACCGCCACCCGCCCCGCGGCCTTGGGTATCTCACCTATAACTCTGCAGAGCCAGTCGGGAGGAATATTGAGAAGCATCTTCTCCATCAGCTGAGATCCCACCCGGATGCCCACGTTACACCCTCCGTCAGCCACGGTCATTACAGCTGGCCTACGGGGCAGGGACACGCGGCCTCAGGAATGCCTTCCAATTAAGGAAATGCTTGAATACAGTGAAATTCCAAAGAGCACTGGGTTGTTGTTGTTGTTTTAAAGATTGTGTTTGTTTATTCGTGAGAGACACAGAGACCCAGGCAGAAGGAGAAGCAGGTTCCCTGTGGGGAGCCCAACGCAGGACTCGATCCCGGGACCCCAGGGTCACGCCCTGACAGCAGCGCTAAACTGCTGAGCCCCCAGGCTGCCCGAGCACTGGGCTTTTATGCAGGGTTCATTTTAATTCCTAAAACAACTCTAGGATGTTCTGAAACATCTTAGGGAAAAAAAGAAGGGCTCTTCTTTATTAAGAGTTTCAAACGATAAATTAATAAATTAGGCTTATTCTATGTTCATTTTAAAATTTCAAATACTAATATAAGAAAGCCTATTTTTACACTGTTGTGTGAATTAATTTTACAAATAAAAATAAAGATAATAATCGCAATATTTCACAATCACAACTTCAAGTTATTTTTCCCCACTGGATTCTTTCCTATTAAAACCAGACTGCTTTACAAGTATTGTATTTATCAATACAACTATTGATAAATAGTTCCCTATTGATAAATAATATTCAGTATGTCCTACAGTGGAATACTAAGTGGCTGTTAAAAAGAATGATGAATGTTTATAAGTGCTATTAGGGAAGGGATGGCATTATGCACTCTAAGGAACAATATGAATAAAACAAAATGGACAATATTATTCTATTTATGTATTTTTAAAGGAAAGGATATACATGTGTTGGTATGAGCATAATAAATTATTAGAAGAACATACAAGAACCTCCTACGACCATGGAAGCAGCATGGATGGTGGATGGGGTACATGGGGAGGAACTTTTTGCTTATTTTTTTTTTAAAAAAGATTTTATTTATTTATTTATTCATGAGAGACACACAGAAAGAGGCAGAGACATGGGCAGAGGGAGAAGCAGGTTCCATGCAGGGAGCCCGACACAGGACTCGATCCCGGGACCTGAGCTCACACACTGGGCCGAAGGCAGGTGCTCAACCACTGAGCCACCCAGGTGTCCCTACCTTTTGCTTTATATCTTCCTTTACAGTTTCTATTTTTACCCTGGTTATATTACCTCTTTTAAAAATTGTTAAAATAAAATTAAGAACACTTTTTTTTTTTTTTTAATTTGAGAGAGAGAGGGAGTCTAAGCAGGGGGAGGAGCAGAGGGAAAGGGACAGGCAGGCTCCTCGCTGAGCAGGGAACCCAACACACGGCTTGATCCCATGACCCTGAGATCACGACCTGAGTGGGAATCAAGTCAGACCTTCAGCTGACTGAACCACACAGGGGCCCCAAGAACAGAGTTTGGAAACAGACTGGTGACGATAGAGGAACTTATTGTAACAGCTCAAACAACACTACTGGTTTTCCCTCAAAAATCTACTTCTCCTTTTGCCCACATGATGATTCTAGGTCTTTCCTCTTTTTTGACTCTACTCTTTCCCCGTGCTCTGTCCGTCTCCGTTCTTCACCTCAGCAAACACATGCTCAATATGTACTATGTGCCAAGCGCTGGGAACACAACTGGCAAACAAGACGGATCTGGGTCCTTCACTCGAGGAGCACACAAATTTGGTTTAACAGTGGTGCCAAGGTGACTTCACAGGGATACACTCGTCTTTTCAACAAACCCTGCTGGGACATCTGGATATTCGCATGTTAAAGAATGAAGTTGGACCCTTTCCTCACATTAACTCAAAAATACGTCATGGCCCTATCTGTAAAGAGTTAAAATTATAAAATCTTTATAGGAAAATGTAGGAGTAAATCTCCATGGTCTTGGCTTAGGGATGATACCTTTCTTAGATATGGTACCTTTTAAAAGCACAAGTAACAGAAAGGAAAACAGATAATAAAATACGTTGGCAAGGATGTGCAGAAACTTCACACATTCCTGGTAAGAATGCAAAATTGTGCAACAGTTTTGGAAACCAGTTTGGCAGTTCCTCAAAAAATTAAACATAGACTTACCAGACGACACGGCAGTTCTAAAACATACGCCCACTGAACATCTGTACCCAGATGTTCACAGCGGTTATTCATAGAATAGCAGCCAAATGTGGGAACTGTCCAGATGCTGGGCTGTGGGGAGGAGAGAAGTGATGGGAACGGGGCTCCTAGGCGATGAAAATGTCTCTTAAAAGGGGCCGTGGTGACCAAGGTACAGCCCTGTGAATATACTCAAGCCACCGATCGTCCCATTTAGATGGGTTCATTCGATGCTGCGTGAATCCTGTCCCAGGAAAGATGTTTTTGAGAGAAGACAGCATACGGGACAAGCACAAGCTGCAGGAGTACACGCACGGTGCCCTAATGGAAAATACAGGTGGGCTTCGGGAGGCTCCTCGATGAGGTGCCACTAAGACATGGAGGAACCCTGTGGAATCAGGTGGAGGCAGGGACACGCAGGGAAGAGCAAGGAGAAGAACCTCGGCGTGTCTGAGGAATTGGAAGAAAGGCCAGGGGCTGGAACATGCGAGCAAGGGAAAGCGCGGCCGGAGATGAGGCTGCAGGGGAGAGTGTGCTGGAAAGTGCTGGAAGGTGTGTAGGTCAGGCAGTGGTCGCCCCAGCAGCTGCGCAGAGATGGACTGAAGACTAGAGACTACTGCTCGCAGGGTTCGAGCAAGACCCAGCAGCCCGGGCTAGGCCCATGGGCTTCTGGACCAGGAGCACCTCCATGGCACTACAGCTGAGGACTCCACCCTGCATACCTCATCCTAGGTCACACCCTAATCAGGGGATACTGGTCTGTGAAGTCCTGTTCCTTTTCGGGAACAGTTATTCTTTCGACTAAAGATTCAAAGTCTGTCTTCTCCATGAGGGATATTTACTGGGTAACATTTTTGTCCAATAAACAATTACATTCATTAGAACATTAAGAATTACATAAAATAACATATACACTCTGTAAGGAGCCTTGACTATTGATCAGAAATCAATTTTAATTCATTACACTTCTTATATAGCATATGCATCCTAATTTTCTTTTCCATAAAAGCAACGTTCAGAGTAAGAGCAAAATTCATTTGCTTATTTATAACACACGTACGGAAAGGAAAATAAGGCTTATGGATTCAGCTTCTGGAAATGTGCTTAATGTATACCATGATAACATGCTGAATACATGTGCATTTAGTTTTTAGGCACTGTAGTATTTAGAAATAGAGAAGAGCACAAAGGGGATCCCTGGGTGGCTCAGCGGTTTAGCACTTGCCTTTGGCCCAAGGCGTGATCCTGGGGTCTTGGGATCGAGTCCCGCACTGGCCTCCCCACAGGGAGCCTGCTTCACCCTCCACCTGTGTCTCTGCCTCTCTCTCTCTCTCTGTGTCTCTCATGAATAAATAAATAAAATCTTTAAAAAAGAAAAAAAAAGGAAAACACTGATGGCTATTTTATAAAGGCATCCAAAGGCATATAAAGGCATATTTTTTACAAGGTAAAAAGAAAAAGCTTATCCAAGACTTGGATTATTCAAAAAATGTATTTTTCACCTAGCTGGTCTGCCATTTTACTAAAGGACACTTGCAATCCTCAATCTCTAAAGTGAAGTTGGAAAACCTGAGGCACAGAAAAGTTAATAAACATTTTATTAGCTTCCACACTAAGACATTAGATCAGAGAACACTTTTAACCTTTACATTCCAATTACATGGTAAAGTATGGGATTCAGTTTCTTATGAGCCATTTAGATCTTGGTTAAAAATATAAACCAAGTAGGGGCGGCCCAGGTGGCTCAGCAGTGGAGCTTCCGCCTTCAGCTCAGGGCATGACCTCGGGGTCCCGGGATCGTGCTCCCTGCATGGGGCCTGCTTCTCCCTCTGCCTGTGTCTCTGCCTCTCTCTGTGTCTCTCATGAATAAATAAATAAAATCTTTAAAAAATATATAAACCAAGTAAAAATTTTCTTCAATAGAGCTGCTAAAAGACAATCAACTCTTCTAATTACTGCTTTTAAAGATCCCTGTTACAATTACTAGATAATTTTTGCTTTCGGAAATAGTCATTTATCACTCAGGGGGAAAAAGTTATTCTCTTGGACTAGGTCTAGTTAGTCCTGATTAGAAAGTAAGAATTGATATATGCAATTTTTTGGTCATGTCCAGTCATATAATAAAATACTGTCCATCCCACTGGCTCGCCCGGCTGCCTCACCTGTAGTATAGCTTCTTCATAGTAAACGGCAAGCAGCTGTAACACTGTTTGTAGATCTTGTTCTTGTCTGTTTCCAGTTCCAACCCACATTTTGCACAGCCAGTATATACCATGTCCGGAAGAGAAGAGAGGATGTTCCTCAGGGAGCTGCGGGAATTTAGAGCTATCTTCTGACCTGCTGTGATAGGAATCACTAGCTCTAAAATCTGGGCTTTGATTAGAATCACTCCTACAAGAGACAGAAAGAAGTATTTGTAAATTATAACTTTCATTTATGGACATGGTTAATGATACGGTTGAATGAGGCCACTTAGAGGATGTGCCCAAGGACTCATTCATGGTCTTCCCTCCTTCATTCTTTCCCCGGACAATCTCACTCACTTGCGGCTTCAGGATTTACTCTAGAAAGTGAGAAGTGAGCTGCCTGTAACTAAGAGTGAAGATTTATTTGGCTAGTTTGGCTGCACAGGTGGCTGTTTTCATCCCCCCCTGTCCTGCAGTCATGCAAAATAAGGTCGATCCCTCTTTCAGTAGAAATCCCTTCAAAACACCTAAAACTAGCTGTGATCCTGTCTCTTCCCGTCCTCTCTTCTTTAATTGATCATTGCTGAAAGCCAAACAGCAGGTCAGTTATTCTTCCAGTCTGTACTTTACCCAAAAATAATATTCCACTAGCTTATCCTCTTTTTAATCTTTCCTTTCAGTCTCCTGCCCATCACCATCCATACTCTGGGTGTTGGTATAGAGCACGTGAGCATGGAGAGTCCTCATTTACCAAATGTGTGACTCACCAGGACCTTGAGCATGTTCACTCACTACTCACTGGCTCATAAATTCACCTGTTAAACAAATACCGAGTATCTGCTATCTGCCATTTTCTAATTTACCTTTGCCTTATTGTATACTAGTGAGGTGTGAGTTCATCTGAGTTTATCTTCTCCTTCCTCTCCAGATTCAGTTGAAAGCCTTTGTTAAAGCCTTTGGATTTGCTTCTTCATCCTTTTAGTTGGCAGGACACTACGGGTCGGGAGCTCATCCTTCTGGCTACCTGTTCTCTTTTTGGGATTATCTCTTCAAGAGTCCCACTAATGGTGACTGTCCTATCCCTAAGTCCTTCTGTTTGTTTTAGTCTCTCGGCGCCCAGAGACTGTTTTGTCACCTTCTCCAAGCATGCCCTCCATCCCTACATGAATGACAAGAGTGTGTAGTGGTCAGCGTACCCAATAAACTATAGCACAATGTACATCACACCTTTCCACAGACATGTTGTGTCACTAAGAAATTAATGAAATAATTCCATAATTTTAGAAGGATGTTAACATCACTCCAAACATTTTCTAAATGTACACATCTCTATAAAAGAATGAAAAGTTCGTGATTAATGTGGACTCTGCTTTCAAGGGGCTTCCAGCCTGCTGGGCCCTGATATTCTGCTGATGATAGGGCCAGTTGCTGAGTAGGTACCCTCATTTCTTGACAAGGGGCCAGCCACTGCCTCACCCCATCCAGCTTCTGTTAAGCTTTGTGAAGAGAGCAGACCCTCCTGGGAAATTCTCTCATGTTGAGCTCCCTATCCCACTCCTTTAATTGTGAAGCAGATTAGGAAAAAAAGTTGCTTGTACTTCCCTATGTTCTCTCCATTTCTGTCTCAAAAACACATCAACAATGGCAGAAACTACAACTTCAGCCCTCAGAGCTGAACATAAAGAAAATGAAAAGTGGCTAAACGGCCCCCTTTGACACAGCCTATCAGGGACTGATTGTAACAGCACAAAGCTTTTGCATGGCTTACCAATGGGGAGCCCACCTCGAGGGCTTGCAAGGACATTCCCAACCCCAGCCTCATCCCCCAAACCAAACCTTCAGAGCTGTGAGCACCTATTTTATTAGAGTTCATGATGGTGATTTTTATCTTAAAATCTAATTCTACGTTAATTCCAGAAAGTAACTGCTCTGTGTACGTAGTAGATAAGACAGCTGACTTCTCCATGACAGCAAATGAAATGTAGCTCCTCCACTGCCCGAGTAGAGTTAAAACCTTCCAATAAAGAAAACTTCAGGCCCACAGGGCTTCACTGAGGAAGCTTCACTTCTACCAAACATGTAAGGAAGAAAACATTCTAATTCTAAACAAACTCTTCCAGAAAACTGAAGAGGAGTATCTACATCCCAACTCATTCCATGAGCATTATTCTAATACCAAAAGCAGAAAAAGCTATTACAAGAAGAAAAAAAAAATCTATCGTTCATGAACACAGACATAAAAATTCTTAACAAATGTTAGCAAATTAAATCCAGCAATATATAAAAAGGACACATCATGACCAAGTAGGGTTTTAACATTCTAAAATCAATCAATTATATTAAAAGATTGCAAAAGAAAAACTGTAAGATCACTTTAATTGATGGAGAAAGAGTGATAAATTCTAACATTCGTTCTTGATTTTAAAAGTTTTTCAGGGGGGGAGGGGCAAGATGGCGGAAGAGCAGGGTCCCCAAATCACCTGTCCCCACCAAATTACCTAGATAACCTTCAAACCATCCTGAAAATTTACGAATTCGGCCTGAGATCTAAAGAGAGACCAGCTGGAATGCTACAGTGAGAAGAGTCCGCGCATCTATCAAGGCAGGAAGACGGGGAAAAAGAAATAAAGGAACAAAAGGCCTCCAAGGGGGAGGGGCCTTGCGAGGAGCCGGGCTGAGGCCGGGGCGAGTGTCCCCAGGACAGGAGAGCCCCGTCCCGGAGGAGCAGGAGCTGCACCAACCTTCCCGGGCGGGCGGAAAGGGGCTCGCAGGGAGTTGGAGCAGGACCCAGGAGAGCGGGGATGCCCTCGGGCTCCCGGGGACACTAACAGACACCTGCGCCCCCGGAGAGTGCGCCGAGCTCCCTAAGGGCTGCAGCGCGCACGGCGGGACCGACCGGAGCAGCTCGGAGGGGCTCGGGCGGCGGCTCCGCGGAGGGGACTGCGGGGCGGGAGCGCGAATCCACCAGCGCAGGCCCCGGAGCACAGGGCGCCGGGACACAGCCCAGGATCCGGCCTCCCCCGGGACAGGCAGAGGCCGGGAGGGCCCAGGACAGCGAGGACGCTCCTGCCCCGAGCTGAGCAGATCAGTGGCCCCGCCCCGGAGCCTCCAGGCCCTGCAGACGGAGAACCGAGACCCCCGAGCCCGTAGTTCCTGCGGAGGCTGAATCCAGGCTTCCAGAGTTGCCATAGCAACTGCGGCTGTTCCTCCTGGGGCCTGACGGGGTAAACAACCCCGCTGAGCCCTGCAGCAGGCAGGGGCAGGGCAGCTCCCCCAAGTGCTAACACCTGAAAATCAGCACAGCAGGCCCCTCCCCCAGAAGACCAGCTGGACGGACCAGTGATACTCCCCCGTGTTCCAATACAACTTGTTTTTGGCCACTCTGCACTGAGCAAAATGACTAGAAGGAAAACCTCACCTCAAAAGAGAGAATCAGAAACAGCCCTCTCTCCCACAGAGTTACAAAATCTGGATTACACTTCAATGTCAGCCAATTCAGAAGCACTATTCTACAGCTACTGGTGGCTCTAGGAAAAAGCATTAAGGACTCACGAGACTTCAAGACTGCAGAATTTAGATCCAATCAGGCAGAAATTAAAAATCAATTGAATGAGATGCAATCCAAACTAGAAGTCCTAAGACGAGGGTTAACGAGGTGGAAGAACGAGTGAGTGACATAGAAGACAAGTTAATGGCAAAGAGGGAAACTGAGGAAAAAAGAGACAATCAATTAAGGGACCATGAAGACAGATTAAGGGAAATAAATGACAATCTAAGGAAGAAAAACCTACGGTTAATTGGGGTTCCCGAGGGCGCCGAAAGGGCCAGAGGGCCAGAATATGTATTTGAACAAATCCTAGCTGAAAACTTTCCCAATCTGGGAAGGGAAACAGGCATTCAGATCCAGGAAATAGAGAGATCCCCCCCTAAAATCAATGAAAACCGTTCAACACCTCGACATTTAATAGTGAAGCTTGCAAATTCCAAAGATAAAGAGAAGATCCTTAAAGCAGCAAGAGACAAGAAGTCCCTGACTTTCATGGGGAGGAATATTAGGGTAACAGCAGACCTCTCCACAGAGACGTGGCAGGCCAGAAAGGGCTGGCAGGATATATTCAGGGTCCTAAATGAGAAGAACATGCAACCAAGAATACTTTATCCAGCAAGGCTCTCATTCAAAATGGAAGGAGAGATAAAGAGCTTCCAAGACAGGCAGGAACTGAAAGAATATGTGACCTCCAAACCAGCTCTGCAAGAAATTTTAAGGGGGACTCTTAAAACTCCCCTTTAAGAAGAAGTTCAGTGGAACAATCCACAAAAACAAGGACTAAATAGATATCATGATGACACTAAACTCATATCTGTCAATAGTAACTCTGAACGTGAACGGGCTTAATGACCCCATCAAAAGGCGCAGGGTTTCAGACTGGATAAAAAAGCAGGACCCATCTATTTGCTGTCTACAAGAGACTCATTTTAGACAGAAGGACACCTACAACCTGAAAATAAAAGGTTGGAGAACCATTTACCATTCAAATGGTTCTCAAAATATACCCTAAAAACTATAGAACACTTCTGAAAGAAATTGAGGAAGACACAAAGAGATGGAAAAATATTCCATGCTCATGGATTGGCAGAATTAATATTGTGAAAATGTCAATGTTACCCAGGGCAATTTACACGTATAATGCAATCCCTATCAAAATACCATGGACTTTCTTCAGAGACTTAGAACAAATTATTTTAAGATTTGTGTGGAATCAGAAAAGACCCCAAACAGCCAGGGGAATTTTAAAAAAGAAAACCATATCTGGGGGCATCACAATGCCAGATTTCAGGTTGTACTACAAAGCTGTGTTCATCAAGACAGTGTGGTACTGGCACAAAAACAGACACATAGATCAATGGAACAGAACAGAGAACCAGAAGTGGACCCTGAACTTTATGGTCAACTAATATACGATAAAGGAGGAAAGACGATCCACTGGAAGAAAGACAGTCTCTTCAATAAATGGTGCTGGGAAAATTGGACATCCACATGCAGAAGAATGAAACTGGACCACTCTCTTGCACCATACACAAAGATAAACTCAAAATAGATGAAAGATCTAAATGTGAGACAAGATTCCATCAAAATCCCAGAGGAGAACTCAGGCAACACCCTTTTTGAACTTGGCCACAGTAACCGGAGAAGGACAAACAGTGTATGTTCTCATTCATTTGGGGAATATGAATAATAGTGAAAGGGAATATAAGGGAAGGGAGAAGAAATGTGTGAGAAATATCAGAAAGGGAGACAGAACATAAAGACTTCTAACTCTGGGAAATGAACTAGGGGTGGTGGAGGGGGAGGAGGGCGGGGGGTGGGGGTGAATGGGTGACGGGCACTGAGGGGTACACTTGACGGGATGAGCACTGGGTGTTATTCTGTATGTTGGTAAATTGAACACCAATAAAATTAATTTATAAAATTTAAAAAAAAAGTTTTTCAGCAAAGTAGGAATAAAAGGCAATTTCATCAGCTTCAGACAGAGCATCCAGGAAAACTCTAAGTCAACATCATACTTAATAATGAAGAACAAATGTTTTCTCCCTAATACCAGAAACAAGGTAAAAACGTTTGCTCTTACAACTTTTTTTCAATATTATATTAGAGAAGTTATCACATGCAAAGGGGTGAGAAAAATAAATAAAGGGTATCCAGACTGGAAAGGAAGAAATAAAACTCTTTATTCACAGATAACACGATCATCTATATAGAAAATTCAAATCTACCAAACAGTTACTATTGAGCTTAGTGAGTTTATAGCAGGGTTACAAAAGATGAGATCAATATACAAAAAAACAATGATATTTTTACATAATAGCAACAAACAATTAAAACTGAAATTTTAAAAAGCACCTATTGGGACACCTGGGTGGCTCAGCAGTTGAGCATCTGCCTTTGGCTCAGGGCATGATCCCGGGATCAAGTCCCACATTGGGCTCCCTGCATGAAGCCTGCTTCTCCCTCTGCCAGTGTCTCGGCCTCTCTCATGAATAAATAAATAAAATCTTTAAAAATTAAAAAAAATTTAAATAAAAAGCACCTATTATAATAGCAGAAAAATAGAAAACAGGAATAAGTCTGAGAAAAGATATGAAAACCCTGTTTTCTGAAAACTATAAAACACAGCTAAGAGAAATAAGAGACATATTTTGTTCATAGGTTGGCAAACTCAATATTAAGATGTCAATTCTCCCTCAAGTTGATGCATAGCTTCAAAACAATCCCTGCAGGCTTTTTTTTCTAGAAATTGACAAACTGTAAAATTCACAAAATAGCCAAAACTACTTTGAAAAAGAACAAAAGGAAGGCAAATGATATCTGATTCTAAGGCATATTATACAGCTATAGTGATCAAAATAATGTGGTACTGGTGTAAAGATAGACAAATAGATCAGTAAAATAGAAGAGAAAGCCCCAAAACAGACCACATACAAGTGGACAACTGATTTTAACAAAGGGGTAAAAACAATTCACTGGAAAAATGGCAATCTCTTCAACAAATGGGGCTTAAATAGCTGGGTATTCGTATGCAAAAAGAATAGAGCTTCCAGCCATGCATCACATAATATACAAAAATTAAACTCAAATCAGATCCTGGACCCAAATGTGAACCCTAAAACTCTAGAACTTCTAAAATAATATAGGATATAAATGCTTGTGACACTCAGTAAGGCAAAGATTTTCTAACCAGGAAATCAAGAGCATTAAGTCATACAAGAACAAAAGGATAAATTGGGAGTTCATCAGAATTCAGAACTTAAGGTCTTCAAAAGGCCTGGTTAAAAGAATGAACGTACTAGTAACAGACTGGGAAAACATATCTGCAAAGCCTATATATAACAAATAATTTTTACCCAGAATATAAAGAACTCTCAAAATTCAATAATAAAATAATCAACCCTTTGTTTTTAAGGAGGCAAAAGATTTCAGTTGACACTTCATCAAAGAAGACATATGGATGGCAACTGAGTCCATGAAAAAATGTTCAACATCATTAACCAATAGGGAAATGCAAATTAAAACCACAATGACTTATCATTACAGAAATTATAAAGAAGGCCCATACCAAGTGTTGACACGAATGTGGGAAAAACAGAACTCTCACAAGCTGCTTGGTGGAAATGCAAAATGCCACAACCACTTTGGAAAAGTTTGGCAGTTTCTTAAAAAGTTAAACATGCACCTACCATATAACCTTCAGCTTATTCAGCTACTAGGTATTTACTCAGGAATAAAGAAAGACTATGCCCATATAACATCTTGAACATGAATGTTTATAGAAGCTCTACTTACAAGAGCTAAGAGCTGGAAACGACCCAGATGCCCAACAGCAGATGGACAGATAGACAAATCATGGTACGTTCGTACAACAGAATAAAGAAGAATGAACTTATGTGCACAAAAGCACAGATACGTCGCAAAATAATTTACTTAATTAAAAATGCCAAGCAACACAGTGTACATAATGTATGATTCCATGTATATAAAAATCATAGAAAATTCAAACTAATCTCCAAGGACAGAAAGCAGATGGGCTGCCTGGAGGGATGGGGGGGGGGCACGTACCCGGGGAAGGGTGACATTACAAAGGGGCAGCCTGGTGACGGTTTCGTGGGTTTCGTGTCACAACTCACCAGTATGAATGTGGACACTTCAAGTGAGGGTGGTTCACTGTATAAAAATTATACCCTAAAAATTCTGTTAAAAATAATTTTAAATTTGACGCTCTGAACCATATTTGAAAAGCACTCTGAGTTATCTTCTGCTCTGCTTATGGACACAAATGGACACAGCTTTTACATTCTGGGGATGGACCAAAAGGGGGCATAGCACGCTAGCAAAAAGTCCTAGAAATATACTTGAGACTCTTAACACGTGATCTCTCAGGAGTTTCAACTCATTTCATTTTGGGTCAGATTCTTTTTCTTAGAACTGTAAAAATAATCTTGCTTCACTCAAACCACATCTAACATTTAATAAAATCTAAAACTATAAGAAGCTGGAAAATTATTCATGTAAATGACAGAGAAATATTAAAATTTAGTACCAAGATCCAAAGTTCCTGAGTTATTCTTAATAACCTAACCTTCATAAAAGCACCAAAAATGATAATCTCATACAAATTCTGAGAAAAAACTTTGACTGAAGATTTTCTTCATTAAAAAACTTACATAACTATAAATTTACAGGCACATCCCATATTTTTCGACCCTCACTCCCCCTCTAAAAACAATTGCTACAGTAGCCACCAGAAAACATTCTGTTAATTTCCAAAATTGATGATCATGGACATTTATTGATTGTTGGCATTTAACAACCTTAAGTATAGTTTCAAATGCAGTTTAATCTGTTACACATTTTACTAGGAGTTAGCACACTTTTAGCATCATCTCTGTACTGAGGAAGCCAATACAATTTAATGAAAAGTATTTCCTGCTAAAACTGTATCAACTTATCTAGTCATTTTCACCATTTTATTCTCTTCATTCCAAAGTGTATGGCATATTGAACCTAAAACATATTCCTTTTACTACTACACTCAAAATTAATTACTTTAATGGTATTAAGTTCATGGAAAATGTGTATGTATATAAAATCCATCACCAAAGGCAGTCTTCTGCATAGCTGTAGTATGTTTTGAGGATGAATTTTATACACATACATGCACACACACATAAATATGTGAGTTCAGGAAGTCTGTTATTACATTTTACTAAGGCAGCAAGCAAATTGCATGCATTCTGTATCAATGCTAAATTTTAAAAACCATGTACAGATAACAGTTTAGTAACCTGATAAAATGCTTATCTCAATCAACTGACTCTGGTTAGGGTCATTTTTCTATTTCTGGTTTATTAAGTGATAAGCTGCTTGTACATGTATGCAAAAAATATTTTTAAGTGATCCTTAATAATTACAACTTAACCTCAAAGGATTATAGGGAGAAAGCTAAGAAGATGCAAATATCTGGCTGAGCTCTTTACAGTGATCTATATTTCTTTCTTTTCTTTTCTTTTCTCTTTTCTTTCTCCTTCCTTCCTTCCTTCCTTCCTTCCTTCCTTCCTTCCTTCCTTCCTTCCTTCCTTCCTTTCTCTTTCAAGATTTTACTTAATTATTCATGAGAGACACAGAGAGAGAGGCAGAGACACAGGCAGAGGGAGAAGCAGGCTCCATGCAGGGAGCCCAATGCAGGACTTGATCCTGGGACTCCGGGGTCACGCCCTGGGCTGAAGGCAGTGCTAAACCACAGAGCCACCTGGGCTGCCCAACTTTCATATTTAATTACACATTTTTTCCCACAAATGGTAGCTTGCCTTGCTTATATTAAAATGAGGAATATAAAGATCTTACCTGAACGCTTATCTTCCAGGTGTGTTGCCAAATCTGAGATCTTCACAAAGGAGGGTGTGTTTTTTTGAAATTTTGCTTTAAACGTAATTGCCCTTATATCATCATCAAACAGGCACTCACAGGATGACCAAAATGTTGTATGCAATTCTAGGCTTTCTACGATATCATTGTGCTGAACAAAAAGATATTTAAATTCCCAAATATAATCTTAAACAAACAAACAAAAACAAAAAGTCACCAAAAGGAAATAATCCAGGCTCAGAATCAGATTAAATAGATTGATCCAATTAAGTCAGTTAAATACAACTTTCATCACACTAAGGAATTTGGGTATAAAAAGAAAAATGTGAATTACACTGTTTCAGGGCATTGGGATGAGGATGCTAGAGATAATTTTTTTTTTTTTATTCATGAGAGACACACAGAGAGAGGCAGAGACACAGGCGGAGGGAGAAGCAGGCTCCCTGCGGGGACCCGATGTGGGACTCGATCCTGGGACCCTGGGGTCACAGCCTGAGCCGGAGGCAGACACTCAACCGCTGAGCCCCCCAGGTGTCCCTGGAGATAATTTTAATTGAAGTTTTTCTAAAGATTTCTTGGTCTCTTAAAACAGTCATAATTTATCATAACCAACTGCTTCTCAGAGTAGCTAATTCCTGTTTTGATATCTACAGGCAAAGGTTTTTAAAACTAGTAAGGCATAGAAATGGACACACATCCGCCATAATCAATATCTCTCACTGATTTTCAACACCTTCATTTTCTTATTTAACTAATTTTTCCAGGATAAAAAAAAAAAAAGCATTGAGAGACAATTGCAGCACGTATTTTTAGTTCCCTCGGCCATAATTGTAATGGTTAAAACTGCAGTGGCACAGAGCTTCTTGACAAATAGTCCCTATTCTATTTTAATACATTCAACTTTAAATTCTAATAAAACAAAAGTATTTCTTGGCACTAAGTCTTCTAATAATAACAGCTGTCTTTTTAGTTTCCACTTACTTCAGGCCATAAATCTAATTCACACCCTTCCCCACCACCACCTCCTTAGTTTTTTCCCTTAGTTTCTTCTTAAAAAATGGAAAATCTTAAAACAAGTCAGTAAAGCTGTATAGATAGAGCATCATTAGAAAGAGCTAAAGCATATATATTCCAAGTCACTGCTTAAAAACAATCACTATTTTTAAAATAGTTTGCTTCAGGGATCCCTGGTGTGCTCAGCGGTTTAGCATCTGCCTTCAGCTCAGGGCGGGATCCTGGAGTCCCGGGATCGAGTCCTGCATCAGGTCCCTGCAGGGAGCCCGCTTCTCCCTCTGCCTGTGTCTCTGCCTCTCTCCCTGTGTCTCTCACAAATGAATAAATAAAATCCTTAAAATAGTAAATAAATAAAATAATTTGTCTTATTACAAAATACATGCTTCTAAGTTAGAAATCAGATTAAATAAATAAAATAACAGCCATTATCTCAACACCTCCAAATAAACACAGTTAACACTTTCAGTGGACATCCAGTTGTTTCTTTTTTTTTTCATCCAGTTGTTTCTAATTTGTCTTAATATGCCAAATATATTTTATATGTCATTAAGTATTATTCTATATTATTTAAAATACTGTACAGATATGCCAAAAATCTTAAAAATTATTATAACAATTCCCTATTTGGGGGCATGTTGGTTATTTTTTTTTAACTGTTAGAAAAAATACTGTGATAAATGCATTTTTAGCTACATCTTCATTCATAGCCACAATAAATTCCTAAAAGTGTAGTTATTAGGTCAAAGGTATTCCAAATTCGGTTTTCATATGCATTGTCGGTAATCTTTAGGAAAGGTTTTGCCAATCTACATTTCCAATAGTTTATGAGAGTAGCTATACCCTTGTATGTTCTGTATCAATTTCTCAGGAGAAAAATCATGTACTGTCATTATTTTATGTGTGTGCCTTCAATTACTAGTAAGTCCATTTTTTTTCATACATTCATTGGCCATTTTTATTTCTTCTTTGGGGACATCCTGTTCATATCTATTACCCATTTATCCTTACAGATATTTGTCTTTTGCTTTTGAATTATTTTCTAACAAAATGCAACATTTTCTTTTTATGGCTTTTCACTTGCCTTTTAATTTGGTATATGGTGATTTTTATGTATAGTTCTTGTTGCTACGTTATGTTCAACCTACCAATCTTTAGATTACAAATAAGTTTGCTTATATTTTCTTCTACTACTCATTGTTTCTTTTTTGAAAAAAAATATTTGAATCTCTAATGCACCTGGAATTTATTTTGGCACAAATATTAAGTATAAATTTAATTCTATTTTTTTCTCAAATTGTTAGCTATTTCAAACAGTACCTACCTTCTTTTTTTCAAAAGGAAAAGTTTGCTTTATTTCTTAGTTATAAACAAAATGTATTTACTATAAAATATACAGTAAGACAAAAGAGTCGTAATAGGTGAAATAAGATTGACAAATGTTCTAATATAATGGGTATAATAGGTATTATAATAGGTACTTCTTATATTACACTCTATATACTAAATCTGAAGTTTTTGCTAAATGAATAAAAACTAAATGCAGATTCACACATGCATAAAATTCAAACTAAAGGCATAAAGAAAAAAACACAATAACCACTGCTAGCATTTTAGTATATGTAGTTTCAAATTATTTAATGTATACACACACTCATGGTCCCACTTTATTAAAATGGGATCCTATTATACATGAGATTTTATAATCTACTTTTTAAACTAAACAGTAACATCACATACATCTCTCCAGGCTAGTGAACATTCCTATCTTTGGTGGTAAATACCTTTGTGTGTCCACTCAGACCACAAATGACCCTCAGCTGTCCCCCACCCCACCCCACAAAAAGCCCAGGCATTCCTATTGTAACTTCCCACCCTGTCCCAGGGCCACAGTTGATTGGATCTTACTCAATCTGGGCAATCAGATATTCTTTGCTGGGAATTTGGAAATGGACTGGTCTCTTAAAAGGAAAAGGAAGATCAAGGGCTACAGGGTAAGCATCTTCTGCTGGCTTCCATGTGGTTGAAAAGCAGAGAAAGTCTGCACTGAGTGACTAAAGCAGACAGATGGAGAAACTGCAGCTCCCAGTTCCAAGTGCCCGTGAGCCCATCACGCTCTTGCCCTATGTACTGTGAGATACCCCTGTACACTCCATATATATGCCCCCTAACTGCTGAAGTTAGCCAGAGAAGAGTTCTAGTTTGGGTCACTGACAGCCCTCTGTGCCCAAGTTCAAATGGAATTTATTAATACATTTCAGGAACTGGAAAACCCTTGTGTGCAGCATTTTCAAACTTGTGATTTCTTTTCTTATCATTTGAAACAAAATTTTTCCCTCCTCAAACTTGCTTCTCTTAGTCCTTAAAGATCGGAAATGTTGAGTGAGTGGTTGCTGATCTGTATTTTAGTCTTCATCCATCCATCCATTCATTCATTCACTCATTCATAAAGCATTTACGAGGGCAGGCAGAGGGCTATGTAATGAGGATACAGGGATGAATAAATAAGTTTGGTAGAATGCTTGTATTCACAGAATTTATGATCTATGTTATAGATTTTTTGTTATTTATTTATAATCTATTCCTATTATTATATAAGCTATGTCATATTTATAACCTATGTCAATTACCAAGCAAGCAAATAAGCTGGATAATCCTGACTGTGTTAAGTGCCACGAACGGACCTCAAAGAGTTGATCTGATAGTGATTATGTATATACGTATGAGGTCGCTCTGAGGATATGATCTTGGGAGCTGAGAAATGAAGGAGACATCATGTGGGGAGCTGGAGGGGAAAGCACTCCAGGTAAAGGAATCATAAACTCAAGATCCCAAGGCAGGAAAAGGACTGGCAAGTTCAAGTATCAGGAAGTAGCTGTGTGCAGGTTAGACTAGCAAGTCTGGGGGAGGCTGGTAATGGAGACCATTTGTATTACATTTCTATATTTAAATTGTGAAGTAAGGGTGTGAGTAGATTTCAAACCTCCATAAAGACAATTATGATTTGCATGAAGTATAATTACAAATGTTGGGATCATTTGCATTACCCTGTGCTTAATTAATAATGTCACGAGAATATTATAATTTGTTATACTTTTTAAATTTTTTTTTTTTATTTTTATTTTTATTTTATGATAGTCACACAGAGAGAGAGAGACAGAGGCTGAGACACAGGCAGAGGGAGAAGCAGGCTCCATGCACCGGGAGCCCGACGTGGGATTCGATCCCGGGTCTCCAGGATCGCGCCCTGGGCCAAAGGCAGGCGCCAAACCGCGGCGCCACCCAGGGATCCCCTTTTTAAATTTTAGACTTAAATACCTTCAGAATTTGAATTGGAATGGCATTTAGTTCTGAATAGCTTATTTTATGTACCCAGTTATTCCTAAGAAGTGTACAGTATGAAGTCTACCTTCATCAGGACCTAAACTGTGATCAGAGCTCACTACAAAGCCCCATGCCTATTTCAAAAGAATGTGAATTTGGGATTTCTTGTAATTCTCCCCCAAAACATCAACTCTGATCAACAGTATTCAATGATGACTACGTGATGATCATTTCTGATTATATCACCTAAATGTGAGTTTGTTACCCTTAGAACAAGTAAAACCAGTGCCCAATATGGATGTTAATGCCACAAGAAATACTAAACAAATGGATAAAATGCCAATAGTTTCTGAAAGTAGAATCACTTACTTAGATGATTCTTCAAATTGGTACTTTTGAAAAGAACAATTGTGAGGTATTGAGGTGGATATCAAAACTTAAAAATGATGGTTATAAGTCAAGTATGCTGAAGGAATGAACGAACAAAAAACAATCTTAATCCTGGTTTATCTTAATTCCTGGTTTCACAAATTTCCAGTATTAACCTAAATACCACAGAATTATCCGGAGACAACTATAATGACTCTTCTACTAGCTAAATAACTACTACTTTTAGAAGAACATTCATGTTAAGCATGGAGCAATCTGCTCTGCTACAAGCTCCATCACAAATGGAGTAACACCATTGACCTACATTTTTGTTTCACATGCACTAGACTCATGTCCCCGGCTATGATATAGTGGTCAACTGACACATGTTTGTCAGATTTCTCAACTGAACAAATATTTACTATTGTTTGATCCTAACATGAAAGTCAAAAGTCAGACTTATCTCAAAGCCTGGTTAGAGGCTATTAATGATTAAGGGAGAGAATGTGACAGATCATATGCTTAGATAACTATTTTGTAGGGAGAAGTTCGGGAAGAGACATTAACTCTTTCAAGGAAAACAGAATGACTCACACATTTAATCTCTGGATTAATTCAGCAGGATAAAATAACTCATAAGCCACTAGTTAAACCATCTCTGACTATTTACAACGAAAGGATCTCACAATATCAAAATGAAGATATTATACGGTTTTATTGAAACATCAATGCCATTTAATTAAATTTATCATAAATTATTAGTAACTCCTGCTTTAAGGAAAAATGTAATCATGGGTCATATTTTAAACATAAGCATGCTACAGATGGCTAATAGTCCACGCTTTTAAAACAACTGGTATAAAAACCTGGAACACACTAATTTATGAAACAGGAACATTGCGACTTGAAAGGGTTAATGCAGCTCCCCTAACATCTGCCTTATAACCAGAGAGAAGTTTATCCATCAGAGTACTCTGGCTGAATAAAAATTGTAGAAGCTTCTCCAGATTTCAATTTTTAAAGAACGTTTCCGGAAGGAGATAAGATCTTCACTGAAAAGGTAAAGTAGTATACCTGGGAATAAATGGAAGCTTTTCTTTGCCACTCTTAATTGTAGAGGACTTTTTAGATCACTAAATTGCTTACATGAGATGTAAAATCATAAGAAATCTGAGGAAGAACAGTTATGATTGCCTACTATTTCAAACGTAGCCTATCTTCTTCTCGTAAGATGTTCTTCATCTTAGGCTCTTAAGCATTAATCATTTACCTAACTATAAATAGGTTAAATCCTTTTTGGTATATTTACCTTTTTTCCTTTGAAGTTGAGGGTACCAGGCTGCTCCAGGACCCCATAATACAAGCACATAATGTTGACCTTGGACCTGTTCCACTGTTAACATAACTTTCTTTTGCTTCTGTCCTCTATAACTGTATAGTGCCTCTGGAAAAGAAATATTTCAGCTAGCATTACTTAATCACACAGAACACCATACTTTAATGTCTGATGATAAATAATAGTAATAATCAAATAATATACTATCAAAGTCTTGTATCTTAATTATTTTATAATCTAAAATTAAGAAGGTGCCCCCCAAATATTTACCGGTCAGTACAGTGATATCAACGACTCTTAGTACTGCATGGACTAGTATGTCTGGCTGCAGCCGCTCCAATTCTACAAATTCTATGCTGTTCATTTTCTGAGGTTGCCTCTGAGGAAGATCTCTGAGATAGGAATGTTCGGAAGACACATATGCCAGTAAGTCTTGAAGTACAACACCATTAACTATACCGGAATCTAAGAAAGAAAAAACATACCTGTGTATGAAAGATGGCAAAACTCTACCTTCCTAACAACACAATATTTTCTTAGAAATGTATTTTATGTTGTAAAGTGTGATTAAAAGTAAAACATGCTTTCATTTCTAAAAATATTAACTTTTTCTTAAATGTTTAGGTGCAAAAATATGCTTGATATTTTTAACCAAGGGAATTAGAATTATTCACTGTCTCCAAAACAACCTGCCCAGCTCCCTTCTCTATTTTGTTAATGATAGCATTTTTCTATGAATTTCGGTGATTTTCTATGAATTTCAGTATTTCGGTGATTTCTTTGACTCCTCCACTACCCTGTTATACCCAGTTGTTTCCCTAACCCCTGCAGTCTGATTTCCTCTTGTCTCCCCCGACATCCCAACTGCTACTGTTCTTCCCCAAGACTCTTATGTTTCTCATCTGAAATACTCTTATGGGTCACCTAACTGACTCTTTCCCTGAACAGGCCTGCCTCTTCCCCACTTCTAAGCCTCCATCCTCACCACTATCACTGGCTGCAATGCTGTCATCCTCTCTGCCTCTCTAAATACAACACAGAAAAGCAATCACTATAGAGAGGCTCCTAGTAACTTCTTCCCCCAGGGCTTTTATCTCCAGCTCTCATTTGGCATTCGAGCGTGTGCTACATTGTAATATTTCTCTTTTTTAAAAAAGATCTTATTTATTTATTCATGAGAGACACACAGAGAGAGGCAGAGGGAGAGGCAGGCTCCCTGCAGGGAGCCCGAGGTGGGACTTGGTCCCAGGACCCCGGGGTCACGACCTGAGCCGAAGGCAGACGCTCAACCACTGAGCCATCCAGGTGCCCCTGTAATATTTCTCTTGATTGTTAAATCAGATGTTTAGTTCTTTGGTCATTATATCATTTAAATATTTTCCTTTATTTTTTAATTATTTGTTTCAAATTTTTCTCATTTTTTGAGCTATACTTTACATACAATAAAATGCATAATTTTAAGTGTACAGATTGATGAGGTTTGCTGATTAAATTTTAAATTCCCTGAAAGAAAAGGAAGTATATTTGAATATACAGTAGACTGTTGACCAAAATAAGATCCTAGCAAAAAGCACTTAAATACTTTTTTAGAAGGTTGGGTCTATCTGCTGATTTCAGTAGGAATGAAACAAATGATTCTTCTTTCCTTCTCCCATTAATATTCTCATCCTAATGTATTTCTTGCACTAAAGCCTCATTATTCATTCACTTATCAGGAGACCATCCACAACGAGCCAGGCATTATGTCAGGTGCTAGGGATACAAAGAGGTATCTTGTCACGATACCCACACTGAAGGAATTATCGACCTCGAGATAGTCAATAACAAACACTGGGCTGAGGGGGTGAGAGATACACGTAAGCCCTCCTAAGAACACACAAAACCACCGCCCAGCCAAGTTGGAAGAGTCTTTATTGAAGGAGTATTTTAGCTGGGTTTTGGAAAAAATGTCCTAGAGTTTTCTAGGTAGTAGATGAAGGAGGGGGTATATTTCCAGGTAAAGAAAAAAGGGATCTGTATTCCTTTATATACTATAGATGCTTCTGGTAGTCTGATGAAGCATATGAATTCATCATCAGAATAACAGTTTTAACAGCCTTATTGAGATATAATTCACATACATAAAATTCACCCTTTTAATGTGTATCATTTGGGGCATCTGGATGGCTCAGTCGGTAGAGCACACAACTCTAAATCTCAAGGTAGTGAGTTCAAACCCCATGTTGGGTGTGGAGCCTGTTTTAAAAAAATTGTTTTTAATTAAAAAAAGATAGGGGGGGCAGCCCGGGTGGCTCAGCGGTTTAAGCGCCGCCTTCAGCCCAGGGCCTGATCTTGGAGACCCAGGATGGAGTCCCATGTCGGGCTCCCTGCATGGAGCCTGCTTCTTCCTCTGCCTGTGTCTCTGCCTCTCTCTCTCTCTGTATGTCTCTCAATAATAAATAAATAAAATCTTAAAAAAAAAAAAAAAAAGATAGGAGATCCCTGGGTGGCTCAGCGGTTTAGCGCCTGCCTTTGGCCCAGGGCGCGATACTGGAGTCCCAGGATCGAGTCCCACATCAGCCTCCCGGCATGGAGCCTGCTTCTCCCTCCTCCTGTGTCTCTGTCTCTCTCTCTCTGTGTCTATCATAAATAAATAAATAAATAAATCTTAAAATAAACAAAATAAAAAAAGATAATGAAGTGTATGATTCGTTTTTTTTTTAGTATTTCACAATGTTGTTCAACTATTGCCATCATCTAATTTTATAACATTTTCATTACAAAATCATATTTTGCAATGCATAAAATAAGATTGCAAAACCAACCACGTGGTTGGAAATAGAGCAATCATGTGCCTCATTAGTACATTTGATAACAAAATATAACAGAGTATGTAACAATTACCATAATTTCAAACCAGTGACAGGCATAAATTATATTCAAGTTATTGGGATGCCCGGGTGGCTCCAGTGGTTGAGCATCTGCCTTTGGCCCAGGGCGTGACCCCGGGGTTCTGGGATCGAGTCCTGCATTGGGCTCCCTGCATGGAGCCTGCTTCTCCCTCTGCCTGTGTCTCTGCCTCTCTCTCTGTCTCTCATGAGTAAATAAATATTTTTTTAAAAAATATATTTGTTATCTTTGACAATTGTAATGTGATATGGTGGCCAAGACACAGGCACTGCTGCTACTACTGTGCATTGTTGATGCACAATGGAAGCAGATGCTTGTATTCAGTTAGCTGTCGGAGAAAATAGAGATGTGATGCCTTCCCATCCACGTTCATGGACCCTTTAATGCGGAAGAATCAATTTTCACAGACAAGAGTAGGAGGAACATTTAGGAGGCTAGCAGCCCCCGGCGGGAGACAATGAGTGCTAGAAACCAGGCAAGACTGTGGAAAGGGGTGTCAGACCCGTGAAAATAGTTTAGAGGTGGAACCCAAGGGACAGTGAGATGGAGAGGATACAGAAAAGATGAAAGATGGTATCAAGATTCCTTACGCAGCTGAGCGCACGGATGAAAATAAATAATAAATGCTTGAAGGTTTTTAGAACCTGAAATCTATTCTAGTTAAGACGACTCCATTGGTCAATGACTTCTATGAAGCAATGGTGATATCACTGACAAAGGCAAGGAGCGTAAAAGAGAAGAACAGATGGCGGGAAAGAGCAATGAGAGCAACAGAGGAAGCGAGAAGACCCATTCGATTACAGCAAAACCCAGTTCCAAGCAGCTTTGACCGTGGCTCCAATTCGTCCACCAGACATCCTGATCCCTCTTTTGCAATATTCCAGCACGTGTGGAATCAAAATTCAGATGGGTTCAGATTCTGACTCTGTCAACAATGAGTTCTGTGAACTTGTACATGACTTCTCCGGGCTTAATTCTTTGTCTACAACGTGGAGTTTTTCGGGGAAAATACAAAGATCTCTGATATCAAATTATTTATCCCTGCTTTATCAGACAGAAACACGGGATTACTTAGATTCCATCTAAAACAGTCTACTTCACAGAAACATTGTATTAACCTTTGATTTATACATTTAACTTAATCATTTCAATTTAATAATATTTAAGATAACTTTATGTCCTATCAAATTATCAGGACTAGGTTTGTAAAATACATAACACCTCACCATAATGAGGAAAGAGCAGAAGTCTTTTCCAAAAGCACAACATATTGATCGGAGGTAAGAATGTTCTCCTGAGTTGTAGCCACTTGCAAACACAAACACAAACACAAAAACCTAACCAAATTGATGTATCCTTTCAGAAGAAAAACAATTACAGTATTCTCAAAGTATCAACTGATAACCATTCCCCTAAATCAAACAAAAAAAGACTATACTTTAGCTACCAACCTGTGTAAAACAGGACAATATAAATGTTAAGTATAAAAACAAAGAATTTAAAGTAACCTTCAAAGCTTCTCTAATTTGGGACACCTGGCATGGCTCAGCGGTTTAGCACCTGCCTTCGGCCCAGGCTGTGGTCCTGGGTCTCGGGATCGAGTCCCACATCGGGCTCCCCACATGGAGCCTGCTTCTCCCTCTGCCTGTGTCTCTGCCTCTCTCTCTGTGTGTTTCTCATGAGTAAATAAAGTCTTTAAAAAAAATTAGCCTTTAAATACGTTGAATATTACTTACAACTCATTTAGCTCCATAGAAATAGGCTCTCCCAGATGTGGCAATACTTCAAATACTCATAATAAAACATCATTACACTTACATCTTTTCAAATGAGAAATTGCCTTTTCCATTTTGTTGCTTCCAGTTTCCAGGCTGTTGCTAACCCACGCCCCCCCCCCCCTCCCCGGGGAAGCACTTCCAGTAACCAGACCGCAGCACTCACGCCATCCCTTCGTCCTGGGCCTTGCAGAATCCAGTCCATACACTGCTTTCAACAGTTACTGAGGTTTGATCTTGTCTTCACCCCACCCTCCTGTGTAATTATTTTATTCACGCGTAGTACAGTTGGGTTCATTTGTCAGTGTTGGTGTTCCCTTTGAGCTGCCCCCTCCACTACATTTTAGTTGGTTTTGATGGTTTTACGGTGGGGATAGGAAGCATCACTGTGAGTCAAGGCCACACAAAGAGACCCACTCAGAGAAGTGTTACTCCCTCCCTTCAATGTTACCCTATTTCCATTCCCTCCTTCCTTCTGTCCTTTTCCTACCCATTCTCTGTAGGTAACTAGTTTCTTTGGTTTGTTTTTTTCTTTCCTGCATTTTTTTTTTCACAAATGAGGAGATACACGTACATCTTATTCCTCCCCTCCTTCTTACACTAAAGATGGCATACTAGGTTTACTTCGTTGAGCTTTGTGTTTTTCACATAGCAGTATGTCCTGGAAGTCACTTCCTGCAGTTCAGAGCTCCGTTTCATTCTTTGTCACGGCTGCAGAGTACTTCACTGCAGGAATATACCACCACCTGATCAGTCACTCTGCTACGTAGGGGCGTTCTGATTTTTCCCAGGGTCTGGCAATTACAAGCACTGCCCTGAATAACGTTGTGCGCGTGTATTTTCTCATTGTTGTATCTTCAGGACAGACTCCTACAAGTAGGCTGGCTGGGCTGAAAGCTGACTAGATAGGTCATCCTGTTAGAGCGCCAAATAGCCCTCCAGGAGAACTGCGGCAATTCTCATGCCTGCCAGCAACGTACAAGAGGGCCTGCTTCCCTGCCGCCTAATCATCCGCATAGGCCGCCATATTTTTTAATTTTTGCCAATCAGATAGTGGGAAATGAGATCTCTGTGTAGCTTTCATTTGAAAGTCTCATGTCTTTTTCCCATTTTCCTATCAGTCCTTTGTCATCACTCAATTTGTAGGAGTTCTCTATATATTAGGAATATCAGCCTTTTGTCTAAAGCATATGTTGCAAATATTCTAAGTTGCCAGTTTTCTTTTGACCTTGTTTATGGTGCTATTGCTCGGGCAAAATTTTATTTTTCTATGGTCAAATTTATCAGTCTTTTTTTTTTTTTTACTGTTTCTAGATTCTGAGTAATAGCAAGTTTTCCCTACACCAAAATAATAGAGAAATTCATCCGTGTCTCCATCTAGCAGTTAATGGTTTTACTTTTTATATTTAGATTCTTAATCCATTTGAAATATATCCTTTTATCTTGTGTGAGATACTGTTCTAATTTTGTCTTCTTTCTAAATGACTATCTGGTTGCCTCACCACCATTGATTAAAAAGTTAACCTTTACCTCAGTGACCTCAGATAACATCTTTGTCATATACTAAATTATATGTATACGGGTCTAATTATGATCTTCCTATTCCACTGGTCTATTTGTCTATTTATGCACCAGAATCACATCGTTTTAATTATAGAGTCTTTACAGTTTAAAGCCTGTCTGGTGAGCGTGGTCACTCGTATGCTTACTTTTTCAATGTTTTCCTAGCTATTCTTGCATGTCTGTTTTTCCATATGAACATCAGTATCAAGTTGTAGATGCCATACAACAACTTCCTAATATTTTTATTAAGATGGCATTGAATTTATAAATTAACCTGTGGAGAACTTTACCATTATAATGTTGAGTCATCTTATCCATGAAAAGGGAATGATGGGTTTCCATTTGTTCATGTCCTTATTCTTTCTGGAGTGGTTACAATTTTTTCCTTATATAGGTTTTGCAAATTTCTTGTTAAATTTATTCGGAAGTACTTTCCTTATTGCTTTTGCAAATGAGTTTTTCCCTACACTTATGCCCTCTGTATGAAGGCTATTGTGTTTTTAATTTCATCTTTGACTCCCTGGAATTTTTCAGATTTATCAAAGCATTTGTGCATATAGTTTTTACTCTTCTTCACCCATTCAGATACCTCTTCTTATCTAGTTGTATTGGTTGGTAACTCTGTATATTGATGACAAGTAGCAGAGAAAGTGGACATCCTCATTTTGTTTCTTACCTTGATTTCAGTGGAAATGCCTCTAGTGTTTCTCCATTAAATAAGATACTGACATTAGGACTAAATACAGCTATTTTATCGACACAGTACCAATTGTAACACTGTATTAATACTGCATTTATTGATACTGAATAAGAAAGTATCCCTCAATTCTCATTTCCTGGAGCACTTTTTATGGTAAGTGAGTGTTAAATTTCTCAACATCTATGCAGATAATCATATAATATTTTCTTTAGATTTATTAATATGATATTCAATATTCATGAATCTTCTAACATTGAATATACCTTTCCATTTCTGGAAAAAAATCCTACTTGATCATTATTTCTTTAATGTGGTGCTAGATTGTGTTTACTAATTTTTTTAGACTTTTTATTTAGACTTCATGCATCAAATCTCATGTATAAAACTGGTCTGCATTTTTATTTGTAATGACTTTATTTGGTTTAAGGGTCAGTGTTATATTTGCTTTCTAAACGGAATTAGGAAGTTTCCTTCTTCAATACTATGGAATAATTTTTAGAGCATTGGAACCATCTGGTCTCTGAAGGTATGGGTAGAGTACTCCTGTGAAACTGTCTAGGCCTGGCAGCTTTTTTGTACATTAGTTCTTTAATAATTGTTTCTATTTCTTCTATAGAAACTGGTCTGTCTAAACTGTATCTCAAATCCATCTATTTCTCATTATTTCTACTGGCTACCCATTACCACTCAGCCTCAACTACTATAATAACTTCCTAACTCCCTGATTCTGCTCAGCCCTTCACAACCAGATCTATGGTATTCTCCATCTTTCAGAGCATTCGCCCTCACCCGCAAATATTATATTTGAATGTCTGTTTAGTTTCCACCTTGTCTGTCCTCCCGCAGAAACACCAGCACCATGACGGCCAGCACCAGGTGGATGCTGTTCACCACTGTACCTCCAGTGCACAGCAGTGCCTCAAACAACGTCAACACTAAATACGTATCAACTGGGTAAATGAAGAACTCCACTTTAGGTATTTTCCGAGAATATGTCAGTGCTGATTTCCAGCTGACCAGCTTCCCTAGAACAGAGGGAAATCTCACCCCTTCCCAAACACCACAGTTCTTTTCTGCTTACCCTGCCTTTCTTTGAGAATTCTTATTATTCATGGGTTGGAATTCCATGCTGTATCTTCCATATGTGCCTTACAACTTTCTTGTTATTCTAAAGAATCTTTTCCTTAATCAGTATCTTTCTATATACCAATAGCTATTTTTCTGTGACACTGTTTTACTATTCTATCAAATCTATTCTGCTTATTTCTTCTCCTGTTAATACTACTATATGGTTATTTTGTATTGCATGCAGTTTCAATGCCCCATGTTCATTCTCTCATTTAATCCTCATAGCAACCCTATGAGCTACACATATGTATTTTACTTCCCATTTCACAGATGGTACAGTGAGGTTAATTAAGTACCTTTGCTGAAAGACATAGACTGTGGAAGTGGTAGGGCCAGGATTCAAATCCTGCTCTATTTGACTAGCAGGTTATACTGTCTCCCTTATTGTGTTTTCTTTTTTATTTCTGGGAGGAAAAGACAGCAGCTGGGCTCTACTCTGAATAGCTTATTTTAAGAAAAGAAATGGATGTCAGAGAAGGAAAGTAGTCTTGCCTCACAGTGGTGGACTGAAAAACAAGGATACGGACCACAACTGTCTGACTGCAAGGCCCATGCTTTTCTCATTAGCTCAAGGGTTCCTAACCACAGGCTGGGAAATCCTACAGAAGAACTTCAGAGATCCATGGAACCATCTGGAATTATATGCAAAGTTTTGTGCTTAGCTCCCTAAGTCCGTTTTTCTGCAGAAACAGCCCATAGCTTCTCAAAGAGAACTATGCCTCCCTAAAAGGCTAAGGACCATGGTTCTTATGTGGACTCTAAGAAAAGTATGAAAATGGAACCTGAACCCCAATATTTCTCAAAATATTTATGATTTACAATGCACAAGTTTATTTTTACAAATCCTATTTTTTTTAAAGATTTTATTTATTTATTCATGAGTGACACAGAGAGGCAGAGACACAGGCAGAGGGAGAAGCAGGCTTCCTGTAGGGAGCCTGATGTAGAACTCCTCTGAGGACCCCGGGATCACGCCCTGGGCCCTGGGCCAAAGGCACACGCTCAACCACTGAGTCACTCAGGCGTCTCTATAAATTCTATTTTCATTCTTGCTAAAGAAAATGAACCAACACTGGCCAGCTAACCTATTTAGAAAACATTTTGTAAAACTGCCATTGTAATTCCATTTTCTAGTATGCGTATATACTTTAAATACTAAGAATTATCATATTTAAAATGTGTCTTACATTCTTCAGGCTGGACAGATGAGTAACTCCCAAGATTTAATAACTGACTGGTAAATGTTGATTGTAGTATTGTCTCACCAACCCAATGATCTTCGTGAACAGTAACATCTAGAAAAGAGAAAAAAAAAAGTTCTGATTATGTCATAAATTCCTTCACGTTGTAGTTAACTTAGCAATTGTAGCAAGATATTATCCATGTCTCTCACATGCCAGGCAAAAAAAGTTCACAAGGGTTAAATGATCTGCCTAAAGACACAAAATAGTCAAATAGCAATAACAAAATTGCTTCTGTATATTTGAACAGTATCAGTATGGAAGCTCACTGCTCCACAAAGAATGATTTAATGGCTTTGTTTACATAAAAGAAATGTTGTAATGTCTATTTTGAGAAATTAAAAGGAAATCATTTAGAGCCAGGAAGCAAAGCAATGGTTCCAAAGCAGTAGTGCCTAGGAGAGTAATATTTAGTATGCATTTATCTCTTCTGCTATAAACACATAAGAATATTATATAAGGCATTCTTAAGGGAATTCGATTAATTTTTTTCCCCCTCAAAAGCATGGTAATCTTCATCTCTAGATGTTAAAAGTGAAAGATTCTGGAAATAAGGAATACTTTCCAATAGGAAAAGGAGAGTTGTATGAACTGAGATGCACTACAGAAGAATCAGAGAGTGGAACTAAATATACTAACAGGTAGAAACAATTTCAAGTAGAGCAAAAACTGTTAAGTTAGAGACAGAGACAGATGGACCCCAGGCAGGATATAAGCAGTGTAAAAATTGCTAGAGGTATACAGATATCCTAACAGCAGCAAATTTTTGAGATAGTAAGAAAGAAAAACAAGGATGCACAAATTCTAAGTACTTAGTTCCAAATTTTTACCCAAACCATACCCAAATAGTTGTAATTTGTTAGTTCTATGGAATTAGCCAGGTCAATTTAAATGTAAAGTCATCCTGAACTTCCACCTCTCCCTCCCCACCCTTCTCCTGACTACCTCTTGAGTTTCCCCACAGCCCTGTCAATACTATTTTATACTATACATTCCTTTCTCTCCTAGCAGGTCCCCTTCCCACCTCGAATCCATTCCCCCAGTGCTAGTGATTTCTCAAGAAAATTAATGTGATCCATTTACTTGTTTAAGAACTCAGCGGCTCCCCACTGCCTGGCCAGGAAGAGCGAGCATAGCATTCTAGACTTCTCATAATCTGACCATCAGGATGCCTGCTCTTCAGAACAAATTTCAAGGAGAGACTTTGGAAATCTAGGTTGTAAAACCTTTGTTCAGGTGAGTGACTTGCTAATCACTGGTGATAGGGTAGGGTAGAATTCACCGGTCCAGTCTTTGCCTCCAGGCTCTCCCGATTCCCACTCACTGATATGTCCCAGAGTGTCTCCTATTTGTTCTTGAAAACCTGTGGTTTTCCAGTTAAGTGCCAGGTCCTCTTCAAACTCTGGCCAGACAGTCCTCCCTTACAGCACCTCTTCCTTCTATTGCTCCAAGTATGATGGCAAAATGTCAACTATATCCCTGAACATCATGTGATCTGGAATATATCTGGGCAGAAAGATGTTCAATTCTGGGGTGCATATCAGTAGATAGTATGAGATATCCCATGTAGAGATATAAGAATCTACAATTACATGCTGTTAATTAAAATGGAATTTCATCCATAAATTCCTATGTAAATGTAATTTCAGAACTAGGACAATGGAAAAGTGTATTTCTCTTTTTTTCCATGAAGTTTCCATCTGTCACACAAAAACAAAGGAAACATTCAGAAATTGGTGAACTAGGGGCAGCCTGGGTGGCTCAGTGGTTTAGCCCCTGCCTTCGGCCCAGGGCCTGATCCTGGAAACCTGGGATCGAGTCCCATATGGGGCTCCCTGCATGGAGCCTGCTTCTCCTTCTGCCTGTGTCTCTGCCCCTCTCTCTTTCTTTCTCATGAATAAATAAATAAAATCTTTAAAAGGAAGGAAGGAAGGAAGGAAGGAAGGAAGGAAGGAAGGAAGGAAGGAAGGAAGGAAAGAAAGAAAGAAAGAAAGAAAGAAAGAAAGAAAGAAAGAAAGAAAGAAAGAAAGAAAGAAAAAAGAGGTGAACTAGATAGGTTTTTTTACCAAGGAAATAAGGCAAAACAGAAAAAACTGATTTTTTAAAAAAGATACTCATCGAAATAATCTAAATACCCTATAACAGAAAAATGGCTAAGTAAAGCAGTAAGTCACGTGATAAAAGGTTACCTAGTTGCTAACAACTGCATGGACACTAGGAAAAAACACAGGGATGGCAGGTTTGAGATTCCACCTGTCAGGTAAAGTCCTCCTGTGAGGCTCACACAGTGACAATAACCATGGTCCTGGGCCTGGTTCTCTCCTGATAGTCTGGGAATCTGATTTTGTCAGCACCCCAAAAATAGATTTCAGTTCTGCAACATAAGCTCACATTAAACAAGTTAATGAGACAAACAAACAAAAAACAGAACACAATTATTTAAATTTACAACGAGGCACTGATTGCCACAGAAACATTTGCAGCAGAGTCTCATGTAGGCGGTCTTATACCTGGGAAGCCAGATGGTAAGCAAAGGGCTGCCCGGTGGGCACTGAATCAGAATAGAGGGAGCTAGATGAACTGACTTTCCAACAAATAAGACATGGTCAGTGGGCGGGGACTGCGCTGTGATTGTCGGCTACAATCCCACACACCTCTCTATGAGAAGCTGCCCCTGACAATCTTACCTACACACCGAAGGTGTTCTAGACAAGGCCTTTATTCCCCCAGCAAACCACTTGGTAAGAACCACCAGTGACTGCCTTATGTTTTCTTTTTCTAAGCTTCTAAGGCCCACCCACCCTTTTTTTTACCACATTCTTTCTTTAGATATGTTATTGAGCTTAATCAGCTTCCTCCCGCCTGGGACTCATCCTTAAAATGACTAGAATCTCTGTTCTAATACACTGTGTATTTATTTTCAATTAATGAAGAACATGTACAAAAAAAAAAAAGTTAGATGTCTTAGGTCCGAAAAAGCAGCAGGATAAAAACTATATGTTCTATTTATGATTACAACTGTATAGTAAAAATATGGGTTCTGGAGACTAGGTTGAAATCCTGGCTTTGCCAGTTCCTAGATGTGTGAAACTGAGTTTACTGCTTTACTTTTCCGGATCTCAGTTTCCTCAAAGTGAAAATTGGGGGCTAATGATCAGTACCTTCTTCACAAAGCTATTGTAATGAACTGATATACATGTAAAGTTTTAAACAGGGTTGGACACAAAGTAAGTTCCCAATAAATACCAACTAATTATATATGTATGTATACACATTTTAAGGAGCAGAGGGAAGATAACTGGAAGGTAACACTCCAAAACTCTACTGGTGGTGCTATGAGGTTGGTTTAATATCAGCAGTTTTCCCTTTCCATATATATTATTAAAATATGATTTTAATAATTAAAAACACAATAGAAAGTCTCTATTGGTCCCCTCAACAAGAATGTGATGTGTACAGCATTATCAGGGATTAAGTAGTAGAAACCCTGTCCTTTCATCCTAAGACTGCTAATATAGCTCAGGAAAACACTTAAAAAATAAGACATCCATAGACAAAACCATAAGAAAACAAATAGCCTGATGATATGACCTGAGTGCTGACACAGTGAATGAAGGGGAGGAGCAGCCAGGGAAGGCTTCTCAAAGGTGAGTGGAAAGAAGGGACAGAACCAAGAAGGCTAGAGCAAAGGCCCAGAAATGGCAGGGACACGGGATATGGGGCGGTGGTAATTAGGAGACCAACCAGGATACTGGATAGGGATGGATCATGCTGGTTCCCACATAGGCACACGGTAAAAAGGCTTAGAGTGCAAGGGGGAGAAGCCTACAGCTTCAAACTGGCACTAACCCGTGATGACCTTACCTGTGAGCAAAATTATATCTCCGGGAAACACCGTAAGTGCCCAAAATGCTGCAGTCCTCCACAGAGAGACCTTCTTCTTAATTCCTGACTGGTCAGTTACCGCAATTGTTGCTAAAGGCACTTTACAGCCAGAATTTGGTCCAGATTTTATATTTATTTCTTTCACATGGCATGGAGATAATACCATGACTAAACAATTATACTTCCGACTTTTAGAATCACAATTTCTTATTAAAGATGTTTTTGTAATGCCCCTAAACTTCCCATCTCTCTGGTTCTCTGCTGCAGTAGGATCTCCTGCATTGGAAACCAACTTAATTTTCTTGAATGGTTGGAGGACTCTGGGCAGAGTTTTGGAATGGCTCAACTTCTCTTCAGGGATCCAACTTCTTTTAACAGAACTTTTGTGGAAGGTATTGAGCTGGGAACACAGCATTCCTGAGCCATATGGCTCAATGCATACATCACTGGGTGGCAGTTCATCTTTAAAATTGAAAAGCTCTTGAGATCCTATATTTTCTTCAAGACCTTTATCAGGTTTCATGTGAGTGTCACTACTTTTTGTTTCAGGACAAACAGGACTAAAGAGTTCAAGGGAATGTGCTTCGTTTTGTCCACTTTCATATCCTCCTGCAGAGTCATCATTAGGCTGAATCAAATTATCTTCAATTATTCTTATTTCCCTGTGACTTGCCTTTGGTTCACTCTCCATGTTTACAGTCCCTTTATTTATAGAGTTCTGTCCTTTAGACTTCCTTTGAGATAAAAAAGCAACCTGGCTGGAAGTCATTATACTAAGAAATTCAGTATCAGTAGATATTTTAAGGTCTGTGACCTTTCTAACAGCTTCAGACCTTGGCTTATCTTCTGTCTCCAAGGAAGAGAACTCTGGACGCTGGTTTTGTACCTCATGATGCTCTGTTGGTGCATACTTCGTCCCAACAGCTCCTGGCCCTACATTAATTTGTTCTGTACTAGAGACCAAATCTAGTTTAGCTGTACACTTATGATCTAACTGAAGGAAGTTTTTTTGAAAGTTTTGGCCAAATGTATTTGACTGATCTTTATGCTGTTCGTCTGTAATTTTCTTATCTTCGCTGAAAAGCTTTTGATACTTTTCTTCTTCAGTTAAATGTTGAGCCTTGCCCTTAAATCCACATATTTGCACATCGGAGCTAGTTGTATCACTCACCCCTGAAGGGGGACTCTTCTCGGATTTTACGGTCTGTGTTTCAGAAATACAATGTATAAAGTCTTCTTTCACATGAACAGGTTCACTCATAGAATTTGTTGAAAAATGAGCATTAGGAAAATCTGGACAGCCATTAGCTTTTAAGGCTTGATAGTCCTCAAGAGTTTCATCCCTCAGATGTAAATAGTGTTGATTGTATGACAGATGAATTTTTTTCCAGGGGTTCTCAGGAGACCTTAAAGAAGTTCGTTCCTGTGATACTGTCATGTTCAATGGACCAACTGGAGCACCCCAAAAAATGTGGACCTGAGATCTTCCACTCATAGTTTCTGAAAAAAATTAAAATGAGTTTTTTCTCAGTAGATTTTTTATATATTAATATTAACTTAATAATATGCCAACAGCAAATGTAATATAAACTATGAATCAAAAACATAATTAATAAAGGTTATTTATATTGGTATTCCATTTAACTACAAAATTCATAAAAATATAAGAAATCATAAGGAGAAAACAAAAGAGCCCCAAAAATCCTCATCTAAAGACTCTCTTCAATAAATTATATGAAATAGTGAAAAAAAAAAGACAAAAAAATAAAGCTAAGTATACTAACATCAAATGGCATTTAATAACATGTAAAGGACAATTTAGTAGGGAAGGAAAAAGAAAGCATTTGTTTCATTGTACTATAGTCACCTTTAAATTTCCTGTTTTCTTTACTCTGTAGATTATTTCAGTAGCTTTGGGGCCTCCTTCCTTTAACTGTGAACCCAATTCCCAAGACCAAAATAGAACGCTTGAACTGGAAGGGAGAGAAAATACAAAACTGAGACTTGAGGTTCTCTTCAAAATGTAGAAGTGATTGTGTCATCTGTGCTCACGCCAATCTGTGAGCACAACTAGGAACTGCTTCTGTGTTTTTAAATCTTCTCTGCAATACAAATAAAAAAATTAAGAGTAGTCATTTTGTAATACATGGATCAAAGAAATTCATTGTGATTTAAACTTTTTGTCATTAACTATGGTGCCTGATATAAGTACACCTAAGTGAGCATCATATTTACTGAAGCTAAAAATGAGGAATAGTACCACTATTTACTTCATTATTACTGACTTTCAAAAGGAATTTATGAAATAGATCTGGCCCTAGAGCTTGCTAAGAACTTTTTCACAGTGCTGCAGGGTCAAAAAGATAGATAAAGTTCTCGGCCTGAACAAAAAGGAGAGGAAAATAGTGAATGTAAACTAATACTTTAAAAATAATGTACTAAATCCTACAGACTATAAACAGGAAACAACCATCTGTTGGGGAAGAGAGCTGCTGGGGAAGGCAAGCGCTGTGGCTGAGAGCATTTAAACAAAACAAACAGTGTCTGTAAAAAGCAGAGTTAAGCAAAACCATGGCACAACTAGGGGCTTTTGATCAGAGTACAGGGTCCTTTGTAAAAAGGTAAGGTTTCAAATCATAAAAAGTCCATATGGAAGTACAAGGAGTCTAGAAGTACACAGAAAGGAGGAACCGGCAAGAAATGACAACTGTAATCTCCAGTCCTTCTTATCATCCTTGAGAATTTGCTCATTGTCACCTTTCCAAATCTAATAATCTATCCGACTATAATTCTTGTGATTCCAGTATCAGTGTGGATGATCCTTCCAATTCCCTGGCCTCTTGGCTCCTTGACCTCCTCTCCTCCTTTGATTATATTTCTCCACCTTACCCCAGTTACCTATTCTTATAGTCACATACCCTCCCCATTATCAGTAACTGCACACTTTCCTAAATTCAATTTTAAGCTTATTAGTTTCTACCATTTTTCTAGTTATTCCCTCTAAATGCACTACTCCAGCAATTCTTTCAACATACGGGACCTACAACTGATCGTAGGGACCACATTTTTACAGCTTAATTCTTCACTTCCCTCCTTAACCAGCTTAGATCCTGTGGGCCAAGGTTAAAATCACTCTACCATACACCACTAATTCCACTGCTCTCCTCGCTAAGATATCTGCCCAGCTGAACTCAACCACTGGTTGAATCACCACCTACCCTGCAGTAGCCCAATGGCTACAAGTAACTAGAAAAAAAATACACTTTCATCTGAAAACAAGTCTCATTTTAAGTTCATGACCACTAACCTCCAGGTGATACCCAGCAATCATCTCTCCCTGTCCACTCACTAAGCTAACTCTTCCATGCCTCTTCATTCTTTAAATCTCCAGCCTCTCTTCTTGATCCTGGAGTGCAGCTGGTGACCATGCTACCCTTTCCACTTACAACGTCTTAGCAACATACCTACCAACCCACCTTGTCGTATTATACACTGTGCCCACCTTCCTGTCACTATGGATGAACTGTCCATGCTTCCCTGCAAGGCCATGTCTTCCTTACTTACATATTAGGTCTTATTCCCTTTTTCTTCCTCAGGCTCCAACAATTCTCCCCTTCTCTCCTACGTGATTGATTTTTCTCTCTGTACTGGAGCATTCCATCAACATACAAACATGCTGTTATTTTTTTCTCATGTTGTTACTCAGCTCCTTTGCCCCTCCAACCATTCTGCTCCTCTCTGCAGCAAAATTCCTTGAAAAAATTGTCTATGCTCCTTCTCCCATTTTCTCTTAAACCCACTCCTGTGGAGCTTTTGGTCCCAACCACTCCACTGAAATAGCATATTCCAAGGTCCCCAGGACCTTCCACAATGCCATGATAAGTCAATTCTCCATTTTCAGCTTACACAGCCTATCAGCAGCATTTGACACTGCTGACCTTGCCATCCTTCTTAAACCCTCTATCATCTGCTTTAGGGATACTACACCTTCTTGATTCTCATTCCACGTGGTACTGCCTCACCACGTGCTCTCTCTCGGGCTCCTCTGCTAGCTCCTCATCTCCAGAACTCTGTGCTCAACAACCTGTCCTTGAGTCTCTAAGCTCACTCCTTAGGTGACTTCACTCGGTCTCAATACCTTCTCTGCGCTAATGACTATCACCCATCACAACCTCTCCTCTGAACTCCTGACTCCTTAACCAACTTTGTACTTACTCTTCATTACCACAAAATGTCTAAAAGGCAGCTGTACAGAAAAGAGTTAACACAGCAGGCCTCAGACTACTGTCCTTAAAAAGGCTGGCTTGCAAGGTGAGCCTGGGCTGGCATCTAGGAATTTAGATTCCAGGAGGATTCCCACCATTCCTTGATAAGATTGGCTCACCCTGCCTAACCTATCTATGTAAACAATGTTATGATGAACACTTGCTTTCCTTCTGAGAGGCTGGGACTTTGGTATGTTATACAGATGATAGGTATGTGACCAGAACTCCTTAGAGAAATGGCTGATTTCAGGTCTGGAGCAAGAAATGTATAAGGTGAACCAGAAACATCATACCAGAAAGTAAGAAATCTATCAAAAACTACTAGGATGGTGTCAAAAGAACCCAGAAGCCAGCTTAAAGAGGTTCCCACTGGCCAAAGTTGAACAATCTGAGCATCATTTAGAATGATTACTATAATCATTTGGAACACACCAAATACGTTTAAACCCAGGAGTTCATAAAGATAACTAAAACAAACTCACTTAGTGATCACCTTGGGAGGACATTAGTGACTAAGCAATTGTTTTTGCTTTGTTTTGTTTTGTTTTTAGCAATTGTTTTTAAAAGCTGGTGAATGACGGGAAAGAAACTCTATCTTGTCTTTCTTTACTAAACAGTATCTCAAAATGACCAACTATTGGAAGAGAAAAATCTCTCTTTACAGAGGTATCATGATGTTAAAAAAAAAAAAAAAAAAAAAAGAGGGGCACCTAAGTGGCTCAGTCGGTTAGGTGTCTGTAGTTCAGGTCAGGATGCCAGGGTCTTCATATAGAGCCCTGCGTCAGGCTCCCTGCCGAGCTTCTCCCTCTCCTCCCTGTTTGTGCTCTTCTATCTTGGTCTCTCTCTCTCTCTTGCTCTCTCAAATAAACGAAATCTTAAAAATAAAGAAATAAATAAAATCCTTAAAAAAGAAAAAAAGGATGATCATGGGAGACTTTTTAAGCAAAAGAAGTTTAGAACCTAAAAGTCCATAAAGAGGAGAATGGAATATTCACCATGGGATATTCAGAGACAGATATGGCAGCAAAAAGAAGTAACCGAGAGTTATTTGTCAACATGGATACATCTTACAAATACAAGTCCCAATGCTGGGTTTGAACTTATGGCCCTGAGGGCAAGACCTGAACTGAGATCGACAATCAGACACTCAACTGACTGAGTCAACCAGGTGCCCCACAAATACAATTTTAAATGAAAGAAACAATTTGAAGAATATATAACTTTGGGTTATATATTCAATATATTCAATATATTGAATTTTTATATTTTAATAATTTGAGCATAGTTGACACACAGTGTTACATTAGTTTCAGGTGTACAACTTAGTGATTCCTATTCAACAAGTTTATACATTATGCTATGTATACATAGCATATATGTCCCTTAAGGGGAGGAATGGAGACATAATAGGTAAAGAGTACACAAAGGGCCTGAACTGTGCTGAACATGTTTGGTTCTCCTTATATTGTTCATATATATTTTATAATATAAAAAAAATCCTAGGAAGAAAAACATTGAGGATGTCATTAAGGATGATTTTTAATTTTTTTCTATATTTTAAAAAGTTTTATTGTGATTAATAATGAATATGGTTTATTTTTGTAATAACCCAAATCTTTTTTGCTTGGTAATTCAGGCTTTTCTTGCACAACCCCCAACTGAATATGATGGTCCAATAGCTGTAGAACAATGGACCTAAACCTAACCTTGCACAGCAAGAGCTGAGCACAATGACGGCAGTTAGTGATGTGCAAGCAGCTAAAACAAAGACAGACTGCAATTTTCAAGGTTTATAATGGTGAATTACTAGTATGGAAACAAATTCGTGGTAAGTTTAGGTGTCAAGTTTTGACAGATAAAAGAGGACGAAGCCTCCCTAAGTACTGTAACGATATACCTCACCCTATCTAATCCTCATAGAAGAACTCACATAAGGGTTAACAGGCACAGCGGGTCAATCAGCATTTTACCACTTATGTCACTTCAGATTGGCCACCAGGGGGCCCCCGAACAGCAGAGCCAAACCCCCGAGGTCAGAGGGGCAGTCAAATCAAGCACCAGAGGACTAAACCAGGCTGACAGGCAGGTGACAGTACTTATATTTAAATCAAATGCATAAAATTACTATGATAATGACCGTCCCTCTCTCAAATCTCTGGGTTTCTCTCCAATGGTTTCTTCCCTTTAATCTCAAATCTTTAAAAAACAAAACGAACAACAACAACAAAAAAAACCAAGCTTATATCTTTCTTTGTTCTTCC